CCAATACTAAACAAGGGTACTAACTCGCCCAAAATTCCCTTTAGCCGTGACACTACTTCGTCAAATGTTACATCCTTCGTCTGTTTGGGCAGAATGTGGTCTATGAACCCTGAATGTGCGCATTTTCCGACCTTGTGGAGTAGCCATCGCACCTTCCATGAGTCGTCCTGACGAATGAAGTCCGTCCTGAACACGTCTTTTCAGCGCTTGAACTACACATCGAATGTGCTTCCAGAATTCACGTCATCCTTGTATTCAGTGATTGCATCAGTGCGAATATCAAAAGAACTCACCTGCTTGTCCCTCGTCGCTGCTTCTGTTGTCTGCAAACTCAAGCACTGTGTCAGCTTTCCGGTCATTTGCATTTGTGCCTCCATTTGTGATGGATCTTGACAAGGCAGAGCTTTTGAAATAGTTTAGCAAAAAATTCATCACATACACAATTTGGTCCAACGCCATTTGTTATAATCTTCTCACCAGAAGCAATCCCGAAATTGGCAATTTACTGCCCTACAAAACTTCTTGCCCAACCGAAGGAAAGAGCAGAACACCAATGACCTTGTCAAAATAACAAACACTGTACAACTACCGCGAACCTTGGCTTTATTTATAGGTTTCTCACTGACCTTCGACTCCTGGAATTGGAAGGTCAACTCTCAAAGTTAGCAGTCGGCCATAGCTTCGGCTGAGATGTCCGGGGATTGCTGGTCATGTGCAGCATTTAGAACATTCCAGAACGTTCGAACTTCATGCGATCCACGTTATTAAATGATTAATTGCTAAAATAGTGGCTTTCCAAGCAATTCTTACTTTCTCCCGGACTTTTGGCTTTAGACACGAATGGAGTACACTCTTCGGCGGTGCCCTTGAAGCGTTAGCGCATTTGCTGCAACTTTTAGCTGGCTACTCCAACTGTCAGTCCATAAACGACCAATACATGTAACTTCGGGTAAGCGCTTTCATTCGTTTGTACCTTAGATACCCTGCATGGAAAGGCCGTAAATCTCTCCTTGCCCTATCTGCCGGATGAATGCTCTTTCCGAAAACATGATGCAATTTTGCACAATGGAGAGTAAATGGCTTGTACGAAAGTATTGATGCACTTCGGCAGAGGGAAACGAACGCGGCCACCTGGTTCCGTGAAAATGCGTAACCTTATTTAGGATTAGAGCTCCCAAAGCATTTTGGCCCGCACAGCTTCTGCCGTAACCTGAAAATCATGTAATGCCTGGCTCACCAGAAATTTGACATCAGGTTCAATTTCAACTGAGGCCATGAGGATATCATCGTGTTCATGCTGATGGGAATCAAAAAGGCGTGACAACGCATATGCCTGGCCCATCGAAACTGTTGACTGATAACGAATTTCAAAAGCATAGCCCAGCAAGGTGAGTACCCACCGTTGGAGTCGATTGGCTGTATAGGCAGGAATTCCCTACTTCGTGCCGAAAATGGCCAGCAACGGCTTGTGATCCGTCAAGAGCTTTAAGCGGCGACTATACAGCTTCTTGTAAAATTACTTCACAGCTAACATCACGGTCAATGCCTCCTTCTCTATCTGACTAGATTTTTCGGTTTCCGCTAGTGTCCTGGTGGCATGTGCGATCGCATTCTGAGATCCACTTGGGAACGTAGAGGAAACTACGGCACCGATTTCTAGAGTCGACGCGTCTGTGGCGAGGACAATATCTCGGGACGAATCAAAGTGAGTTAGAGTAGATCTGAAGTCAGCAATGACTTGACCCGCTCAAACACAGCCTGGCAATGTGGCGTCGAATAGCAGGTTTGGCCCTTGCTCAGCAAATTGTTCAGCGGGGCACGCAGGCGACGCAGTTCGGTAAGGAAAGTGCTGTAATGACTGATTAGGCCCTAGAATGAACGCAGCGATTGCAAGTCTGCAGGTAGATATTTTCTGGATCAGGAAGACGACCGGGTTTTGCAAAATTGAAGCCGAGGAACTTGTTGGTTAGTGTAAACAATGTACAGTTGTCTTCACGTACTGGATGCGTACAAGCACTTTATCAAGCCGTTCACGTAGTTCTTCAGCTATCGGGCTCATTAAAACGATATCATATAGGTACGCAGCGACTCCAGAAACTCCCGCGAGCATGGTGTCCATCAGCTGCTGGAAGATGACTGGTTCTGTGTTCACCATAAGAGAGGCGGTTGTATTGGTACAAGCCAACATGAGTGTTGCTCGTCAGCAATTCTCTCGAGCATTCATTAACATCGACCTGGGGTAGGCAACGGACAAGTCGAGTTTGGCGAAACACTTCCCACTATTCAGTTTGGCAAAGATATCCTCCGGTATCGGAAGGGGATACTGCTGGTCGTCCAGTGCAGTGTTCAGGCCAGTAGAAAACTCGGCACAGACACGCAATTTACCATTCGCCTTTCTCACAACGATCGGCGCAGCCCATGTAGAGTATTCCATTGGTGTGATGACACTGGCGCTCCAGTCTGTCGGGATCCAGAGCAACTGTTGCCATCACTGCATACGGTACCAGTCCTTTTGATCTGAAGACTGGCTTTATTCCTTCGCCAAGACACAACTGTGCTTTGAATTTAGGGCAGTGAACGAATCCAGCTTCAAACAAGGAGACGAACTTCAGGTGCAGCTTTCTCGTCATGTCTTCTATAGCCAATGACGCATGAACTAGATCGCTTTGGACTCGATTGCAAATCTGTTTCACCTGATCCTCAAACGGTCATAGCTTTTCCATCCAGTAAATTCCAAGGTGGTTCAAGTTTAGTCTGCCCGACAATTGGTAAGTTCCGGCCTCTCCCACTCGGTTGAAAGCAATTTTGCAGATTATTTTGCAGGCCAGCGTAAGCACTCCACTGAACGCATTGTGGGCGACGTTACTGCATTCAATCCACTTCAGCCACTTTATGTGCGTTTAAGTATTCTTAGAAATGACCATTATGTCTGAGGCCGGATCGAACGGCAGCCTGGTTGGGATTCCGTTTATGAGCACAATAATGACTCGCCGGCGTGGTCTAGAATCACTGCGAAAAGGAGCAATCAAAGATAAGTATTGCTCGTCAGGCTTCCTGCAGCCCTTCATTTGGTAGGACTGCTTGCCGTTTCTTGGGCTGGACCGATGTCGGAATTCTTCCTTGTGGTCGCTTTTATGGCATTTAACGAAAATGAAACACTTGAATGGGCAGTAACGTGCAAAACACCATTCGCCACATGACCAACGTGGTGTAAGCGACTTGTTCGCTGCTCCGTTGAAAGACTTGTTTTAAGTAGCCTTCGTTGCCTTTTGCACAGCATGAACATTATTGGCAATGGTGGGAAGATTCTGCTCAATCCTGGTGGTGTCGTGTTTTAAATGGATCAACCGTTCGCATTAGCCTTGATTCAATGCAGCGGGGGCCAAATGCTGATTTCCGCGCCTAGCGGAGACTACAAAGCACTGAAAAATATGAGACACTTAAACTGGTCACCCGTCAATCGACGTGAATTGAACCGTTTACATTCACGTTTAACCATGTCTACTTGTGCCCCATAATCGTTCGTGTCCCGCTTAACAGGTTTGAGACAGTGGTAGCGAATGCTAAAAAAGACGTTGAATCACCAACACTTATTTTGCGTAGTGCCACTGCTTCGTTGAAAGTGATGTCTTTTAGCTCTTTGGGCTGGACGTGGTTAGAGAATCAGCAATGTTCATTGATACCTAGTTTGCGGAGCACAACTCGCAATTTCCGTTAATCATTCTGACGGCTGAAAACTGTCCGGAACTTGTCCTCCTGGTGTTTGCACCACGCCTCGAAAGTGCATTCATAAGCAGCATCATAATGAAATTCGGTGATTGAATTCCCAAAACGATCAAGCGGGATGACCTGTGAGTCCCGCATAGCTGCGCCGTTTGATTGTACATACAAAACTGCGTTAAACCTTCGATCAGTTTCATCTGGGCTCCCATCTGGGATTTTGAAAATGTTCAGCGGAACAATACATCTCCTTTTCACCATTCTGCGTCTCCATTGTTACATCATCCAGAGCTTCTCGCTATTCCAATTCAAACACTCAAAATTCTCCGCAAGACTTCTAGCCCAAAGGAAGAAAAATCGGAAGTATAGGGACTTTGACCGAGAGAAGCTTTTTAGCCTAACGTCGCCACATTCATAGGTCGTTTAATGGCCTACGGCCTTTAGAAAACGTAGATCAACTGGAAAATATAGTGGCTTCGTTGTCAAACCTCATTATGCTGGTGGTCACGTCAGGGATGAAACCTTTTCAGAACCTACAAAATAAATGCCTAATCGAATTTAATCTACTAATTACTAAAATAACGGGGTTTCCTTGAAGTTTTCCCTTATCTCGGATAGTTTAGGAATTGAACGCAAGATTAAATGGATATTATTGTTTATCCAAGAAAGTTACCTTTGTTAGTTCTTTTTCCATAAATATATAGAGCAGACGCGATATGCCTCCACAATAATGTATGCAGCTGGTGTACAGCAAGTTAGTTGTTTAAAAATACCGTTTTAAAGCAATTTTAGCTGTTTTGCTTTTTCTATGGTATTTATGGATGTTCAAAATGTTTAAAGCCTGAAACTTACTTTAGGAACATGGTGCAAGCGATATATTGCGTAAAAAGACTTGGGTCAACAAATAACTATTGTTTAGGTGTTCACTATAGATGGGGTCGCACGGTAATACATTATCTGTTGGATTTGTTAGCACGGAAATTAGCTGAATATCATTTATGTGATACCATGCGAAAAGTCGAGCAAATTTCGTGGTCTTGTCAACTAAAAGTGGTCTTTTCATGATTGATGCACAACCTACAAGTACAGACACACAACCACTAGGCAATATTTCTCATTACATCAATCCGGTTCTTGTTAATGCTACAGTAGGTACAAAGTAAATTAATGATTCATAATTTTCATATGAATTTCACAGTTTGTCCTGTTCAATCCCATACTGTCTTCAAGTTCAAGCATGCCTGTTGCTAACTCATGTGCTTTTTAACCTGTGTCACTCAGGGTGAACGTGAAGTTGTCTGCATCCATGTTGGTCAAGCTGGTATCCAAATGGGAAACGCGTGTTGGGAACTGTTTGGTATGGAACATGGCATTCGACCGGATGGACTTATGTTGGATGGCTATTTTCCATCTGACAACTCGTTTCGAACATTTTACTCTGAGACTGGCCACGGAAAATTCGTGCCCCGAACTGTGTTTGTGGACTTGGAACCAACGGTTGTAGGTGGGTTTAACATGTCCGAGTCTCATTTGCCAGACTTATAAGACCAGTCAACTTGTATAAAGCCAATATCGTTCTCTTATGTATCTACTGCCTAGATAATGTATGAGTTTATGAGCTTCGTAATAAATAGACAGGAATGATGTGAAGTTCAGACAGATATTGTTGTACACTCCGTAATCATGAGAAAAGTATACCTGACGAGTAATCATCGTCCAAGTAGTTAGGAAAAGGAATCCTTTCTGAGTTCGTATATTTAGCTTAAACGCATTTTGATACTCCTTTCCTTGCAGCTGGAATTATATAGGTCTAGTTAACTTCATTAAACATAAACTTTATTCTTGACGATTCGAGACACCCCTGTACCGGTATGATCGGATGAGTGCATACTTTTATAGAACGTTGACCACAGATGAATCAGGAGAATTTATATAGGTCAGCTAATGACGGTTGGAAGGACAGCAAGGCTATAACAAATGCCTGAGTGCAACAGAATATTGTTGGCTGGCCTTCAACTTTTATGTCATGTATAAAACGGCTAAATCACAGGAGAGAGTATGTTTGGGTAAATATACTGGGACATGTAGAAACTGAGTGCACCACGGGGTATGTTGATCTTCAGCAGGCCACATATTTCCATTTCATTGTTCATAATCAATACCAGAAATGGAGTTATGGGTGCGGAATTCTTTTCGAGTAAAATCCCATCAGACCCATACGTTTACATGATGGGTTAGGTGCGGAAGTGACGTAAAGAGCTAAATATTGATCACACGCAGTGTGAAAGATAGGTTCAATAAGCTTAAGAATTCTTCACCTATAATTCGATTTCCGATTTTGATTATGAATCTATAGAAACTGTTCCCTGTTCGTCCGCGTGGCTTGTTGGCATAGAACAAGCGAACAGTTTGATCATGTTCAATACAGCCAAGAACATATTGATTCTTTTGCAAAATTCTTATTCAAGAATGCAGGTACCTATTCCGGGTGATGCTTTGTTTCAGAATACTTCAACACTACTTGTTGTTAAGGCACTGATATAACGATGTGTGTATATCACGGCCAGATGCGGATTCCTGGAGGCCCAGGAAATATGAGCTAACAGCATAAGTCATTCCCCCTTAGTAGAAACTTCTCGATTAGGTCACACTGTAATTACGCACATCATGTCGGTTGCGGAGAGTCGCACACTGCGCCGCTTATCAAAGCGCGGTCAGGACTTCATACATAGAACTGGACAGATGAGAAGTATCTAACGTAATCAGAGATTATGATGTCAGTCTATAGGTGTAGACATTCAGCTATTTAAACAGTGGCGTCAGCAAAAGGAAAAGAAAAAGTAAAATTGCGCAATACGTAAAAACCCACTAATGAGAGGAAACGAAGTACAGTAATAGCTTTGTCTTCTGTCACAAGCCATCTTGCTCTTTGCTTTAGTAAAACCCAATGCTTTTGGAATTCGGAGTCCATGCAAAATTGCTTGCATTGCTTCCATCCTATTCGTTATAGCGCCATTGCCCTAAGCACTGTAAGCCACTGCCATTCTGCATTCTTCGGTCCCAACTGGGTAGATGTACGGGACCGGCGATGACTAGGTATGATTTTATGCTCTGTCTGCAAGTGTTTGGGTTGCCACCACTCGGCCTCTTCTAATGTGGCCCTACGAGCGCAACTAGTATGCGGCGTGGTAAACGCTTATTAGGAATGCGTAGGACGTGGCCAACCTGTCTCGATTGGTGAACCAATAAAGCTCATTGAGGGAAGACTCCTCTTGCTCAAGGCGTGGTGTTTGGCATCATCATTTCGTACTCGACTTTGAAAGCATACAAGCGATCCTTCGTAAACAGTCGTTGTCTAACACTGAAATTGTACGCGGCCGGGATTCGCATCTATACAACAAAGCAACGTGCTGAAGTCATCAACGAAAATCAGTTGGAAAAAAGCTACCTTGTAACTATATAGTGTAGCTCCTATGTTACTTGCCAGCGACATTTCCTGCACCATGGGAGAACCATGATTGACAGAGAAATGACCGTAAGCATAATTGTGTGTCTTGGCAAACACGTGCTTAAGGTCAGATCTGCAACGGAAATACGTGACCCTGGCTTACCAGCAGCGCTTAACATAGCCTACTGAGCTTCAAAGGTTTCGACCACCGCCGTCAAGTTTACAGTAAGCATCAACATCGACGCCTTTATCCTCTCGGACAATTGAGCGATCGCGCATTTTGCACGTACCCATCTTGTTTTACTTTCCATTAGCATTCATGCATTCTACCCCGACGAAGTATTGACAAAAGTACCCATCGCAACAAAGTGCTAGTGAAAGCAATTGTTTTGCATTACACATATATTTACGTGAAGTATGTTTCAAGAGCATAAAAGCAACTAAGTAGATGTGGAAAATGACTATTGTCGTTTCGCTTGCATAGCAGTAGTCGCCGGATGCTAAGCTAGCATCTTTTGCACAGGGTCTACCGGGATCCCACGACATTCGTTGAGGATGCTCAGTTTTAATTCCTTCGGGCTGCAGCTGTGGAAAGACACAGTTCTGCAACACTTCTTTCCAGGACGAGGCTGACGAATGTGAGGCATTAGTTCTGTTAAAAATTAAGTTACTCGTCATAAAAAACAACGAAGTAGATGTTCAAAATGACGGCCATCGTTTTGCTTGCAGAGTAGTACTCGCCGGCTGCTATTGGCTAGCACTTGCTGCAGTGTCCACCGATATCTCGCGGCATTTGTTTACGATGTTCCGTTTCAGTTCCTCCAGACAAGTGGCTACCGGCAGGTCGTTCTGTCAGTGTATTCAGCGTTGTCTCGATACACAAGAGTGGCATGTTGGTGTGCCACGTCAATATTGGTGTGGCAACTGATATCTGTCGAGGTCTGTTTGTCCATCCATCTCGTCAAAACAGAAAGAAGATATAGGTTGCGATATGTCAACATTTCGATTGCTCTCATCAGTCACAAACACAAAACAAGCAGAAACACAGACACATTTATATACATGGGAAAATATTGGCACACCAATGAAACTGTCAAAATCAAGACCAAGGCAATCTGCTTGATTGCCTCAAGAGTTTCTGTGCATATAACACAGGTTGATAAGCGCTAATTAGCAACGCCTCACTGATTGCCAACCTTATCGGGTTCCTACTACGTAATCACACCTTGAACGCATTATTGGGGTTCACATGGGGACCAGTTGTCAAGAGGTGTTTGGCGATAGATGATGACGGACTCAGATTCGTTATGTGGGGCGTTCCGTTCTGTTGCGCCAACATTTGTTCAACCCACTTTGGCAAGTGCTCAGCCACCCTCTGAGCCAACCGACGGTTAGTCCTGCCTTTGTAAATATCACCGCAACTGCAGGTGAATTGATAAACCGCATGAGACGCCGAACTAGCCGAAGGGTAGCTCTGACGGTCCTGAAGAACCAGTGTGCATGAGGCGCAACCGGGCAGTCGTGAATGTGCGATTTATGGCGGAACTGAGCTTGTGTCCGATATCATTTGCCACATAGTCCCCTTTAAACGGCAAAACCAAATAAACAGTCTTTTTCTCTGCCGTTTGCACTGGCAGTTTCTTCTTGGGGGGTTTGCTGTGCGCTTAGATGAACTTTTCGGGATAACCATTCGATACAATGGTCCTATACAGAAACTTTTTTCGGCGTCCAGCAATTCCGGACTACAAATTCGTCTAGCTCTGTAGAAAAGTGTCTGCACTAGACCGCGTTTGTATGCAACAGGGGCGAAACTGGAAAAGTGAAGGTACTGCCCACTCCATGTCGCCTTGCGGTAAACGGTGCGCTGCAGTGTACCTCCATCGCGTCTCTTGATGAGGATATCCAAAAAATGGCAGGCTGCCATTTTGTTCTATCTCGTGGGACACCGATAAGTTGAGGTGAATTGAACCCAAAGTGGTTAACAGTCGCGCAAAATGTTCGTTTTTGGTGATTACCAAAATGTCGTCCACTTACCGTTTATACAGTTTCGCCTCACCAATACTGGCAGCAACTTGTCTTTCAATCAAGCCAAGAAAGATATCTGCTAAAACTGGTCCCAATGGGCTACCCATGGCGACCCCCTCGATCTGATTGTATGGCGTCCCCTCAAACTCAAACCGTAGAATCAGATCTCTCAATTATGCCACAAGGAGGCCTACATGCATGTTTTGACTCAGAATGAAACGACACAGATCATCAAATGTTTCATGAAGGGGAACGTTTGTGAAAAGTGGATCCATGTCTATAGAGTACATGAGCTCCGAGCCCAGTGAGAATTGTTCCAGTGTCTCCGCCAGTTCGAAAGAGTCTTTCTGGCAGTGTGTAGTCAGGAATTTACGCACTGGATCTAAGAGTTTCTCAAGCCACCAAGCAACATTGTGATAGGGCGAGTTGATCATACACATAATCGGACGCAGTGGGTTACCTGGTTTGTGCAGTTTGGGTGCGCCCCTCATTCTTGGTGTCTACGTCCCAGTCGGTTTCAGTTGCCTTTACTGCGACTCAGTGATGTTGCGCCAGTTGCGCCTCATGCACACTACCCGTAAACTGGTACTTCAGGACCGTCAGAGCTACCCTTCGGCTAGTTCGGCGTCTCGTGCGGTTTATCAATTCACCTGCAGTTGCGGTGATATTTACAAAGGCAGGACTAACCGTCGGTTGGCTCAGAGCGTGGCTGAGCACTTGCCAAAGTGGGTTGAACAAATGATGGCGCAACAGAACGGAACGCCCCACATAACGAATCTGAGTCCGTCATCATCTATCGCCAAACACCTCTTGACAACTGGTCCCCATGTGAACCCCAATAATGCGTTCAAGGTGTGATTACGTAGTAGGAACCCGATAAGGTTGGCAATCAGTGAGGCGTTGCTAATTAGCGCTTATCAACCTGTGTTATGTGCACAGAAACTCTTGAGGCAATCAATCCGATTGCCTTGGTCTTGATTTTGACAGTTTCATTGGTGTGCCAATATCTTCCCATGTATATAAATGTGTCTGTGTTTCTGCTTGTTTTGTGTTTGTGACTGATGAGAGCAATCGAAATGTTGACATATCGCAACCTATGTCTTCTTTCTGCTTTGACGAAATGGATGAAGGGGAACAAGTGTTTTATGTTCATCCATCGTCAGTACCCATGTACCCAGATGCAGGCATACTGCCCTCACTGTGGTCTTTCATACCCATATGACTGGGTGAGAGACATTTTGAAATAGACCAACATTTACTATTGAACAGTTGGCAATTTCGTGCGCTCTCGCCTCACTCTATGGCCTGAACCTTGTTGGTCCCCGATCGACGGAGTAAAAAGGGTCCGGTCTTTTGGGCTGTTCAGATTCACAATCAGCTGTTTCTGCACCTAAAGCGTTGCTGTTCTCCATCCATAGCAGTGGTTTCCAGTGGCATGATAATATGGGGCCGCTGCTTGTACATCGGGTCGGTGAACGTCTAATTGAGACTGCCTCGTTAGATGAAGCGCATGATTGCCATGTTAATACCGAGGTCATGCGATTTCTCTGGTTACTCAATTGCGCTTTCATCAATTGCATCCGGCTGCATAAACACCTGAGAATGTGTTCATCGTTCACGTCCTTTAAATTGCTATCAGTGCACCCAATATAGTTAGCTCTGTGCTAAAGATGAATTTGTATCAGCCTTTTTGACTTCAGCAATCACATTTCAGCTGCATAGCACACAATTATTACTGGTGCACTAATACGTTTCGTGTAATTTTCGTGGCACGAACAGCTTTGAATGGCCGTCTGATAAAGTCCGCCTATCTTTTGATCTTTATGTGCATGATCTTACTGGGGTATGTCGTGAAGGTGAGTGCAAACTGCACGGGATGACCGTTTGTTTGTAGTGTCTCGAACAGCAAACTCTACTTCTAAAGTGGAAGAGAAATCAATAAAACTATTCGGACAACAAGGATTTGTGTCCAGTTGGAGAGAAACACTTAAAATATAACTACTGAGCTATGCAGTTTGCTTTCGGTAAACTTAATTTGTTTTTGTAAGGTATTCAGCCTGATGGTTCACAAGCTATATAGCACAGCCTAGTCCGGAAAAGCACCAAATACATTTCGCCCCATTGGAACTCGTCAGCGGTGCGCATTCCCTTGGTCCCCTAATGGGGATCGAACCCCTGACCGTTAGAGGCAGATGCCAACTAATTAGCAGTTTAAGCCACTGAGCCTTGGGGGAGGTTGACTGGGCTACATAATTTGCAAACGAACTGGGATACAGCACCACCTATCCTCCACTGTCATTGACAGTGGCTAGACTGCGAGGTGATAACATCCTCTCACCAGCTGCTACGTACGAGTACTATAAACCTGCCTTTTGTTCGAACCATCCAGTGGCTGTAAAACAGATACGTGCTCAAAGTAAACGTGTTTATGTGCCAGAAAAATTTCTTGTGAGTCAAGCTCCCTAATTTTTGGCGTGTATATATTTAAACAAGAGTCTCTACATCTTCACGGTGTTGAGAGCGCCACTAAAAATCAAAATATGACATGTTCAAATCGGTGTTCATTTTAATTTTTGATTTTAACGGAAGTTAACGCACTGGCCTGATGGGCCAATGTTTGCTATGAATTTTCACGCTGTAACGAATTGAGAAAAGGTATAGGTGAATGGTTGATTCTACTGAAGATAGGTCAGGGAACTCAGAAAGCACTTGACCTGTTTGCCTGATGCCTCGGTAGCTTAGCATTATGGTTATAGTTGAACATGTTGGTGAAAAATTGGACTTAGTTAGGGGAATTGGGCAACGGTACTACATGCTTCGACAGTTCTGTAGTTCTAATGTCTTTATTGAACACGCATGCCGTTGCAGTTGTTTTCCTCAGTAACATTTTGCCGAATAATAATAATAAGACGGAGAATAATAATAATAAGCCAATAACCATGCACCATAGATGTTCTTACGCTATTTATTGCACAATCTACTGTTTATCCAGCTTGCTATATAAATTGAAATGGATGGTGCACTGCAGTCTCCACTCAAACGTAATTTGAGTATGCTTACTGTTTTACTGGAGCGGTATGCCGATCTGATTAACAGTGACATCTCAACATCACTTTCGCTGGAGATATAGATACACACTTTATTAGTATGCACTCAATCACACTTGTATCACTATTTTACCTGCCATACCCCATCCTAATTGTAGATGAGGTTCGAACCGGTTATTATCGAATGCTTTTCCACCCGGAGAATTTGGTCAGCGGAAAAGAGGATGCAGCAAACAATTACGCTCGCGGATATTATACAACCGGTGCTGAAATGCTGGGCTTAGTCATGAACCAGATCCGGCTTGTGGTAGACCAATGTCACATGCTTCAAGGGTTCATTATTTTTCATTCCCTCGGCGGTGGAACTGGATCAGGTTTTGCGTCCCTACTCATCAACCAAATGACTCAGGATTATCGAAAGAAAACCAAAATTGAGCTTGTGGTTTATCCCGCTCCGAGACTGGCCAGCTCGGTTGTCGAACCCTATAATTCCGTCCTCGCTACCCATGCCTGCATTGAGGATTCGGAGGTGGTGTTTTTAATGGACAATGAAGCAGTGTGGGACATCTGTCGCCGTAACCTAAACATCCGACGTCCATCCTTCACAAATATTAACCGAATTCTCGCACAAGTTATCAGCTCACTGACTGCGGCATTAAGATTCCACGGATCCCTAAATGGTGACCTGACGGAATTTCAAACCAATCTGGTCCCATATCCACGAATTCACTTCCCATTAATCACATTTAACCCAATTGTGTCTGCCGAAAAAGCGTATCATGAGCAAAACACTGTGGATCAGATAACACGCTCGTGTTTTGAGCCAGCGAATAGTTTTGTCAAAATCGACCCTAGACAAGGTCTTTACATGGCCATTTGTATGCTCTACCGTGGCGAAGTGGATCCGAATTCTGTTAACAGTTCCATACAAGGAGTCAAGTCCAGTCGCTCTATAAGGTTTGTTGATTGGTGTCCAACAGGCTTCAAAGTTGACATAAACTCACAACCAATGCTAGCTGTACCTCGGTCCGAACTGGCCAAAGTACTCCGGAGTTGTTGTATGCTAGCCAACAGCACCGCGATCGCGGCAGCATTTGTACGTTTGGACCACAAGTTTGATTTAATGTACCACAAACGCGCATTTGTCCATTGGTATGTCGGTGAAGGTTTGGAAGAGCAAGAATTTCATGTAGCCCGCGAAGACCTGGGAGCCTTGGAGAAAGATTATGAGGAAGTTGGCTTGGCAACCAAGCCTTGAACTGTCTAATTGATTTCGTTTATCATCGTCTTGATTTCGGTTTGCAGACCGACTCTTCTCCTTTCGCTTTCAGTGAATAACAGTCATTTTGCTGAGTTAATTTGAGCCAATACTTTCGTAGAATCATACAGCAGATTTATTTTGATATCCGTTAACGGGTTTATACAATAACTAAAATACCACGGTTTACCAATCAGGTCTACCATGAATGAGATAACCGAGGCTCACCGAATCGGTACCTCGGCTACTTGCAAAATGCGCATATTAAAGGGAGCCGAACGCACTGCACTTAGGAAGGCGGTTGCTGCGTTTTTGCAAATTCACTTCTAGCTAAAAATCGAGGGTTCGTTTTGAGAAGCTCCGATTGTCAAGATGTGGACGTAACGGATGGTCTCAAATGAGCGTAAGTTGAAAGTCTCTAAAATGCCTTTGAACGGATGACCCAAGTCGTCTTTCTGGCGTCCGGCCATTTTGCGAGAACCAGACAGCTTTTACGCATTGGGTACCCCTTTTTGTTGACCTAGTTAGTGTGCTACATTCGCGGTGATTGATCAGGTGTCCACATTCAATCGACTATTGGCCATCCTGCAAACATCGACTGAGTGAGAGTTGTTTCACTTTCCTCACGATTCGAATGGTAGCTCAGCGTTTCCGCATGAACGTATCCCATTCTACGTGGATAACTGCTGCTGTGTTTGTCAGAAAATAAACCTATTTTGAAAATATTTATGAATGACAACTGGTTCCAGTTTAAGAGACTTCGACGTTCAGGCTCAGTGACAATTTTTCTGACCTAATTGCCATTGCAAACAGTCGAGTAAGTACGCTCCATGTACCGAAGTAGAAAGTGTCAGTGCCTACATGTGACAAGCTTTAAATAATGAAAATTTTTCAGGTTCCACAGAAGTCAGTTCTCCAGGTATAAGCGTTCGTTCTGTAAAGTCAACTCAGAAAAAGCATGTTTAGTGCGCATTACTCCTAGACATATGTAGTTCGCGCAATTCCATAAACAAACTATGGGAAACTTGCAGTAGCGCACACGTATTTAGGCAAGTTAGTATCCAATAATCGATCTGTCATGTACATCTGAAACTGTTTGTCCAGCTGACTCTGTCATTCCAATACTCTGATAGGACAATACAATTACACTAGGAAAACTAGTGGGGTCGTACCAGAGGATGCACCTTTGTGTGCAGTTGCAATCTCATAACATGAAAAATTTCTGCATGCCACTACTTCAAACCAACTAGAAAACAAACTAGGACTTCTCAAGGCAAACTGGGCGTTTTGCTGATCATATTGGACAGCGCTTTTCTAAGACGAACGTTAGCAGTTTGTTAACAAAATACTGGAACGACAGTCACTTGATGAAATGCTATCCAGCTGCTGTCTTTCAAAACAAACTTCATCCTGCATCGGCCGTCTTTCAGATTATCAAGAGTCACCTTATCTGCTGCATGCAGCAATGCGGATAAGCGAACACATGATACTGCTGGCGCCTCCCTTCTTTCTTTTTCACCTTTTTCTCTTATTTCCATCCCAAGCTCCCTTACTAATCTACCTTCTTTAATTCCAAGCCTAACTGACGGTAACCGAAGTGCCACTGGAGTAGAACCATCTGCAGCTACCATCCCGCAGCACCTATCGGACGCCTATCGGCAACCGTCCCTTATAAGTCCACGCTGTCTCGTTTCCATGGCGACATTTAACGTTCGCACTCTATGACAAATAGGTCAATAGTCTGCACTCGCACGCACCTTGAACACACTGGGTATTGATGTGTGCTGTGTGTCCGAAACTAGGATCAATGACCCTAATATGGTTGTTGAATTAACTGCACCCGGCTTATCCTCTCGTTATTGGTTGCACGCATCCGGAGACGCCGATGCAGCACTCACGGGTCAAGCTGGTGTAGATATCGTTCTAACCTCCAAGGCTGAGTCATCGTTGATTGATTGGATTCCGGTGAACAGCCGTTTATGTGCAGCCCGTTTGACGACATCAGCTAAGGTTGATTCACGAAGTAGTACAAAACGATGTTCGCTTGTGATTTCCGTTTATGCTCGCACCGCTGCAGTTATAATGCGTTCAAGGACACTTTCTATTACGAACTGGACTCGCTACTTCGCTGTGCTACTAGTTCAGATATCACAGTGTCGGCCGGTGGCCGAGTGGTCTGCACGTTTGCTTTGCAACCATAAGGTCACCTGTTCGAATCCGCGTAGGGGTGGGCGTCCTCGCGGTATACTCAGCCCGCGCGCGACTGGCGGTGATCGCGCTGGCAGCGAAGCGCCGTTACGGCGTACAGCTGACATATTATTATTATTATCATTATTATTATTATTATTATTAGATATCACAGTACTTGCAGGGGATATAAACGCACAAGTAGGGCGTTTGAGTTCTTCCGAAGCTCAGCTGGGTGGTAATTATGAGCTTAACTCCGAACGGACTGACAACGGTGAGCGTCTGATGCAACTGTGTGAGGAGCAGCAGTTGTTTCTTAGTAGCACTGTTTTTCTACACAGTGGGCGCCGAAGTGCCACTTGGCGTCCTCCTGTAGCTGACCAGCGACGGACCCAAAGTTACCACATAGCCATAAGTTACTGGTGGCGCGATTCCATTCTGGATTGCCGCTCGTACTGGAGTACCTGTATCGACTCTGAGCATGCATTGGTACGCTGTCGTTTCTCCATGAACTTGACCGGGAGCCACACCAAGCGTCTCCTCCGATTGGCAACCGAGTAATTGTCTCAGCCCTCAGTCAGACAAGCCTATCAAGACGCACTGCATACCGACCTTTCGCTGTCTTGTTTTAATAACACTGAGCTTCAGTGGAATGGGATCTCGGCCGCCGTGCACGATGGAGGAGCATCTGCTTGTGGCAATATCGGTCGTCACCGCACCAGTCACTGGATATCCGAGTGGTCGGTGAACCTGCTGGAATCCATAAGCTACCTCCCGGCTGGCTTTGAACACAATGTGACCAGACAGGCTATTAGGCACGAGCTAAACCGCAGGCAATCTGCTGGCAAATAAGCCTGGTGGACCAGTAGGGCTCAAGAAATAGAGGAGGCAGGAGCAGTAGGAAATTACCGCAAGCTCTTCCAGCTAATCCACACCACTGGTCCCAGAAAACCAGGCGTTAATGAGACAGAGACAGCGCGGGTGCATTGACACACAGTAACGAGCGCCGTATGGCTCATTTGGCGGAACACTTTTAAGATCAGTTCAGCTAGCCCCCTGCTCCCGGACCTCTTCCTACCCAGGTGATTCAGCACGAGCTATGGACGGTTAGTTTACAGCCTCCGTCGGAAGCCGAGGTCCGAAACGCGATCACGGCCCTCAATTGTTTTCATGCCGCTGGGCCCGGATTCCCTCCCTTCTGCACTTCTTAAAGATGGAGATGTGGTCCTCTGCAAACACTGACATCCCTGTTTGAAAGCACCTGGAAGTAAGAGGATGTCTTGGCTAATTGATGCGAATCGATTTTAGTGGCGATATAGAAGAAGGGCAGTCGCACAGACTGTTCTAACCACAGGGGGTATTAACCTAACGCCAGTTGTGACAAAAGTACTGGCCTCGATTCTCGTTCGTCGCTTCACTGTGGAACCTGAATCTCGGAGTAGGGAAGAGCAGGCAGGTTTCCGCCCTTGACGTAGCTGTGTTGATCATATATTCACTCTAGGACAAGTGCTAGAGCTGCGCCACTCATACCGCAGGCCGACAGCATCTGTGTTCTTTTATTTTAAGAGTGTATTCGATTCAGTCGCTCGATGAAGTCGGCGCAAAATACTTGCACGGAAAGGTGTTCCCACTAAACATGTGCACATCCTACGTGCTCTATACTGGAACATTACAGGCCACGTCAGGGTCTACGGTGTCCTATCGGATAGCGTGCCAACCACAAGCGTCGTTCGTCAAGATTGTCCGGTTTTTCAATTTTTGTTCAATTTCGTCGTGGATTCTATCATGGAAAGTTCCCTTGCGGAATATTACGATGTAGACGTTGAAGTTCTGCCTGGTGAACGATTGATTCATTTTGATTATTCGGACGATATCGTCTTGCTTTTCGACGATGTTGAGTGGCACAAACAACCCTAAATAGCCTGTCTAGAGTAGTCCCATTATTTGGTATGCGCTTTGCACCTTTAAAGTGTAAAGTGTTGCTGCAGGACCACCAGCCACTTTATGACCCCTTGACCCTTACTAGCGAGGAACTCGAGGTGGTTGATTACTTCACTTACCTTGGCAGCTGTATCAGCAATGATGGGCGCATAGAAACTGACGTCAGCTCATGCGTTGCAAAGGCCAGAGCTGCCTTCTTGAACCTGTGCCACCTTTGGTGACAGAAGGGAGTTCCTTCAGTCTGAGCGCCGTTCCGCTCTATGGAAGTGAGACCTGGCCCCTTAGCTCTGAAGATCTGAGGCGTCTTTAAGTGTTTGATCATCGTTGTCTGCGAAGCATTGCTGGTATCGGATGGCACCATCGTGTCCTCAAAGATGATGTGCGTAGGCGATTACTGGGTAGTGCTAATCATGCTAGCTCCCTAGAACAACAGATTGTACTGAATAAGTTGTGTTGGCTGGGGCACGTGCTGCGTATGCCTTGTCACCGCTTATCTAGGAGGGCTTTGTTTAGTCCGCCAGGTGTAGGCTGGCGCAAGTTTTGTGGTCGACAGAATTTGACTTGGCAGCGGGAAATGAAGTCACTGACGACCAAACTGGATGACATTGGTCCGTCTCGTCTTCCGGGCTGGAGTCCACGTGACCCGCGTTGTGCTTGGCTCGAGACTTTACAGGATACGCCTCGCAACCGAGCCCAGTGTCGCGTGTGTTGCCTTCTTTTAGTGGGATTGCCTGTTTAAAGTGTGTTTGGTGCTGAGTTAGCTGCAGGGTAATGGCTGATGATGACGCGTGGCAGTGAAAGTCACAAGGAAGCTGTCTCGCCGATGCCGCCTTATCTTTGCACGATAGCCAGCTGTTTGTGACGGTAGGTTGTCAACACAAGGTGGAAGCGCCTTGACCCTGAATGCTTGCTTAGGGCATTAAGGTTTTTAGGTAAATCCCCTTTCTCTCCCTCTTATTATTCTTTATTTCATAGGTCTTCATGGTTGTATGGTAGCGAAGTATCAGTTCAGATGCTGATGTACTACTGTTCTTTCGGCCGCTTGGAGGATGCAATTCGGGCAG